AGTCTTTGCAAATAGGGAATGGTGGAGGGAGTGAAGGGAGGGCAAGGGAAGGGGAAAAAAATAAGAACCAAGATACTCATGTAATGGTACAAGATCCCAGTGATGAATGTAACTGTATTTTATACCTAAAATTTACCAATAAACTTAATGGGAAAAAAAAAAAGAAGGTTAGTTAGCATAGTGCTCATTAGTTCCCAGCCGTGAGTAACAGGGCTCTACATCCCTAACATCTGCTGCTCTGAGATTGGGAATCTCAACAAGCCACTTGTAGTGAAAGATTTTTCCTGAATGGCATTGCATGGAGTCCAGATGTGTGCCCTCCCCTCTTATCTAGGGATAGATTTTTATTCTTCCTTGTTTTTATTATACAGTATAGGTGTGATATCCCCGAAGTTAGAAAAATTCAAATACAGCAAAAGAAACAAAACCCAAAGCTGGTATCTCTTCTCCTTTTCATTCTACCCCAGTTTTATTCCCTAGAAAGAAATTATCTTCAGTTGTTTAAGGTTTTAGATTCTTCACAGTGGTCACTTCTTCATCTCCAGCTGCAGATAACATTTGTTTCATTAAAATCTGATAATTATGGGAAATGATCTCACCTAAACATCTCACAGCATTCTCTTCATCTTTCTCTTCCAGTCTTTTATTATTTTTAAAAAATATTGCTCCCTGTTTAATTTTATTCTACTTAAACTTATATTTCTTGATCTGTTACCTGTTTTTGTTTTTGTTTTTTTTTTGGTACCAGGGATCAAACTCAGGACCTTGGGCTACCACTGACTAAATCCCTGGCCCTGTTACCTGTTTTTTTAACTACTTAGGATGTACATCTCTATTTTTCATTTCAGCTTTCATCTATTATAACCTACCTTCAAAATGATAAGAGAACATTTATAATTAAGTTGTCCATACTTTTCAAGGATGTTATAAAATTAAATCTATAATCACTTTAGAATAAGATCTAAGAACTGTGATAGAATCGGAGAAAAAGATATATAATCTCAAACATGATGTTGATACTTAAAGGAGAAAATTCAAAATACCACAGTTGAAAGGAATCTCTTTTCATTCATTCATTCAACAAATATTTAACAAGTCTCTGCTATGGATCAGGCATTATTCCGGGTACTATGAGTTCATTCTTGAACAACGTCCTACCCTCATTGAGCTCACAAGATAGTAGTGGGAGACAGTGTGAACAATAATAAGTTATGTATAGAAGTAATATGTGCAGTGGGAATAATTAGAACTAGGTAGAATGTGGAGAGAAATGTTGGGTAGGAGGCAGTGGTAGTTATAAGTAGGACAGTCAGTGATGGGGAGCTGAGACTTGAAGGAAGAGAGTTCCAGGTAAAGGCAACTTATGTTCTAAGTGGCTGTGTATACATTTTATTATTTAGCTTTCAAAACAACATTTGAATAGGCAGGGCAGGGATTATTTCTCATTTTATGATGCAACTATTGGACCAGAGGGTCATTTACTGGCCATAAGTTCCTGAGTAGGTGGTGGAGCTGCAATATAGGTCTAGATTTAATTTGCCCTCTTTCCAACTGTTTTCAGTGAAGGAGGAAAAACAGTATGTGAACACTCTTAAAAACTAAAGGAGTCAGACTAATTACCCATAATGACAGGTGGACGTGTTAAAATCTTAGGCTAGGAAACCTTCCCGGTGACCTTTCTTGTCCTCCTGAGTTTCAAGAAGTTGACAGATCTATCCTGAGCTGCCGAGAAAAGCTAGGTGGGGTCTTGTGGTTGTCTCTGGAGAGTCTTCCTGACTTTCTTCTCTGGCTCCAGCCTGTGTTTTCATTTAGCCCCAGTGCTTCCATGTACTGCTAGGACTGCTCAGATTTAGCAGTAATTTCTGGGAAGTCGATTTGAAAGGGTTGTAAACCCTGAGATTATATATCGTTTCCTTCCCTTGGGATTACTGATGAACAGATGAATAGTTTAGTGCTGAGGGGTATCCAGGGAGAACCCTGCATGAAGGCAGGGGGTTGGGTTAAATTATCCTGGGGTCTCAACCTCTTGATTTTATTTAAGCTGCTGACTGAATCCAACGATTTGTAACCCTATGTGAAACAAATGATTTGTAACCACTAGAGGGAGCGCTCCCCATGCTGAACCAAAGTCTAATTAAAGAAAGGCTGTGTTCAGGGGTGGGTGGGTTCCTGCACAGATGTCCAGCGTGAATAAAGTTAAGACATGCAGTAAGCAAGACTCAGAACTAGCACTGGTACTCATCTTCATTTGGTGAACTTAGAGTTTGAATAGCAGGGGCAATTAAACACTCATCTCTTCCTCTCATAAGTTTCAAAGAAATGAAACAGGCATGGGAATCTGATGGAGATCAAAATTAAAAAGTTTATTAGAGAAAGCCTCAATGTGTTACGAAGTTTTAATATTCCACTACCAAAATATCCCATTTGATCTCTGAGCAGAGTTGGACAGCCAGAGATTTCCCCACCAGGGTTGGCCACACATTTCATGGCAGAAAAGACCTATGTCCCTAAGAAAGGCTCCTCAGAAAGTAGTGGTCACTGGAATGGCTGGGAGCCACTTTACAGTTTCCTTCTTCCTCTCATCCCTTTTGGATCAGACCCTCCCCACACTCTAATGTTGAAAAGGAGAGGTGAGGAGGAAGAGGCAGAAAATGTTCTCCTATCTGGCTCTCTCCTGGGAGGTGGATGTTCTTTCCCTCTGTGAATATGTGCAGTAGAATATCAGTCTCCTGCCTGTGTTTTAACATATTTGACTAGACATGGTCAGTGGGGTTGACTATTGTCCTCAGAAGTTTTATCCTTCTACCTCTGAAGCTGCTTTCCAGATACCAAACACTGTGTTGTAGTATGTGCTTAAGGACCATTCCCTAGGGGTTTGTCTTAGTCAGTTTACTGTTGCTGTACAAAATACCCAATTACCTACAACTTAAAGGATGACTGGATGACTGGTTTTTATTTTGGCTCACAGTTTTAGTCCATGATTGGCTGACTCCAAGGCAGGAACAAAATAGCAGAGTGGCATGGAAAAGGAAAAGGTGCTCCTTCCCTGGCAGCCAGGAAGTGGGGAGTGAGGCATGAGCTAGGATAGGAGATCTGTCCTCCCAGATCACACCCCCAGTGACCCACCCACCTCCAGGAAGGTCTCACTTCCTAACAGCACATTCAGTAGATGAGTCCACTGATGAGTACAGTGCCCTCATGATCCATTCACCTTCTTCACACGTGAGAATTTGGGGAAAACAGTTTAGATCTAATCCATAACAAGGGTTGTTTATTTTTGCCCCTAGGTCACTTAGTTCCTACTAAGGCTTGGGGTATGAAACCTGCTAAGGGGAACACGAGTGAAAAAATCATAGCTTCTGCACAGGCCTGCATTCTGTGTTGGGGTTCAGGGTATCACTCTCCCAGGAAGGAGTGTTGAACTGCAGCAGGACGAGTGGAGATTTCTTTGGACAAGGAACTCTTTTCGGGAGAATTTTTGTTGAATTTGAAGTATCTGCTAAAAAATAAGTGACCCTTTGTTACCAGGGCCTTCATTCATGAGGAGATAGTCCTGTACTTGTAAACAGGATTGCAGTCGCTGCTGTGACGAACTAAGAATTTTTTTAAAAGGCTCTTGGGTGCGGATATGACAGAAATGGAGCCAAAAGTCCCTATTTCTCTGCATGGCTCCACAAGGCCATGCCTGGTGACTATTTTTCAAGGTTCCTGGTCTTAATGCCATGCTTTGGATAATATAGACTCACTAAATAGCCATTTTTCTCTCTTCTTGAACTGATACAATTAAGATATAAGAAACAAGAATCATATAGAGATCAGATACCTGCTGATTAGAGAAAGGCATAAAGCTGTAATGGAATAGACTTGCATACAAAAACCTCCTCTATCTCTTACCGTAAAACTATCCCACCCAGGCTCAACTGAGAAACCCCCTCAGCAGAGCGAAAAAATTTTCCTTTCTGTGGAAATAGGAGTTCTCCAAAATCTAGGATTGACTTTAGAATTTTAACAAAAAATTAAAGGCTATTATTAATTTAAAAATATTTTTGTACCAAAGTATAAAAAGTGTAGGTCATTAAAATGAAATGTAGGGGCTGGGATGTAGCTCAGCAGTGCAGTGCCTTTCTGGCAAGCATGTGACCCTGAGTTCGATTTCTGGTACCAGAAAAGAAAAATGAAATGTAAAAGAATATGGAACACTAGTAAATTTTTATTTTACTATGTAGGGATATTACAAGTATTGTGGCCTCAACATCACTATTATTTCATAAAGAAAGAAAATATTCTAACATTGAAAAAATAGGAAGAAAAACATTTTAAATGAATGACAAAAGAAGTTTTGTGACCTTAGGTACAAACCTAAATTGTCCTTTTTCTCCTTTTGCACTCAGCCAGGAGAAAGGTGGTCATGGCCTGGCTCTTGCCCTTGCACTATGAAGCCCAAGTTCTTCTGGGATGCTGCCCAGAATTTAGAGATGTCTTTAGGGCTACACACTGTGTTTTCATTTTCTGCTTGTTTTTCTCTGGACAGAGCTCTATCAGAAAAGATTGTCTCAGTCCTTCCAAGGATGAAATGTCCACACCAGCTGGAACCCCACCAGATCCAAGGGATGGATTTTATTCACATATTTCCTGTTGTTCAGGTGAGATCTTCTGTGTGGTTTCTTGTTCTCTGAACATCCAAGTTCCTATAATCTGGCTCTTGGATCATCTGGCCTGGATCCTGGATTTAATGGATGTGGAATGGATCTGTTGTGGCAGAATGTGATGGTGTTTCCTGTGACTGTTCTCAGAAGCTTTCCAGTTCACATATCCTAGTTCAGTGGTGGTGAACCAATAGCACAGTTGTAATTTTTCTTTTAAGACAAAAGGTATCAATGCATAAGTTGTTTTTTTCTAAACTAAATCCTCAGTGTTCAGATTTAATCACAGTGTTGGCACTTTGTGATAAATAAGTGGATTTGGGGGCGAGGGGTTGCAGTTTGGGCACTCATCTCTAAAAAGGTTTGCCATCACTGCTCTAGTTTTACTCTGTTATTTGTTATGATCTTTCAGTGTTCCCATCAGTCATTTTTATTGTTTTGTGGGTAAAGGTAAAACTCCAGAGCCCTCCTCTGACCTCTTCCTGTTTACTATTCAGCTTCAGTTCATTCTTGGCTTTTCTTAATTTTTGTTATTCCAGCCCTTCCTATACTTATGCTTGCTCCTGCCGGTAGGCCTTTGCAAAGCCTAATTCCTTGGACTGAAATACTCTTCTTATGTGCTTAATTCATGTTCATCCTTCAGATCTTGCTTCTACCAATCCTTTTCAAGAAAGCTTTCTGGGCTCCCTAATCTAAAACAGGTTCCTTTACTGTATCTCCCATGCAGCCACATTTCCTTCTTTCACAGGAATCTTCCTTCCTGGAGTTTATAACCATGTATACTGCTATATATGATTATTGTCTCTCCCATCAGACTATTAAGCTTCACAAGGGCAGGCACCATGGTTGTCTTGCTCACTTTGTCCCCAGTAGCTATGAGTGTGTCTGGCAATTTACAGGCACTTAGTCCTTATTTGATTGTTAAATATCTCCTGGGAGACTTCTGTCTGGCCAGCTTTTACCCAAGACTTTGTAATTATGTGGCCTGTGCTGTCCAGCTTCCTGTATTCTGTGCAGTTCTTGTTTCTGGGCTTCCAAGAGACCTGGAAAAGAGGAAGAACAGAGGAACTTATGTTTGTTTCCTGCTGTGTGAACAGCACTGTGTGTCTGATCCTACTAGTGTTATTTTAAACATCTGTTATAATTCTAGTCCTACTTTTGAGGAAAGTGAGACTCAGGGTGATCAGTTTGCTAAGGTCAGAGAACTAGTGGACAGACAAGTAAAGATTCCAGTCTGAACACTGTCTGATTCCAGTCTTATGCCTTCCCCACTCCAGCACTCATAAAGCCACTGAGAAGGTAGCTCGACAGCTCTTGCTCTCGTATGTGTTCCAGTTTTAAAGTAGGATTAGGTAGTGTAGGAGTTAAGAGTATAGACTTTGGAGACTCCCTAGGTATAAACTTTGCCCCTGTAGCTGGCCATGGTGGTACACACCTCTAATTCCAGCCATCTGGGAGGCTGAGTCAGGCAGGCAAATCAAAAGTTTGAGACCTTGTCTCAGAATAAAAAATAAATGAAAAAGAGCTGAAGATGTAGCTCAATGTGAGGGCTCTGAGGTCAGTCCTTATTTGGCGACACAAAACAAAATAACTTTGCCTCTGTCACTTTCTGGCTGTATGATCTTTAATGCCTCAACTTTCCATCTGACAGATGGAAACTTTACAGTAAGTTAGTGTGTATAAAGTATTTAGATGAAAGACTGGCACATGTTACTGGTAGTAAGTGATTTATAAGCATAAAATACTGGCCTGTATTGTCGTCTGTTCAGTATTCCCCTGAACTAGACTTCAGATAAAATGCCCTGCATTTTGTAAATTTATAAGTGAAATTTATAAATTTGAGGTTGAGAGTTCAGCTCAGAATTTGATTCATATGTTTGTTAAACTTTGTCTGATGCAGGAAGATGGTATCGTATCTTTTTTGTGAAAATGAGAAGTTTCTTGATGATTGCTGAAAGCTCCAATACTGTCACACTGTAAAGTTGTTACCCATCTCCAAGGCTTGGCTCTTTCAGGGTTAAAATACTCCATCCTATGTTAGAAATTTGGGGGCAAAAAATCTTGTCCTGACATGAGGAGATGAATGGGAAGTGATCTTCTGCAGTCAGTTTGGGCATTTTGCGGGTTTGTGAATGTCCCACATTGTGAGTGGAGTATTGAGAAGTTCCTGTCTGGACAGGAGAGCCTAGACTAGTGGTTACCAGATTTTTTGATTTTATGAACCCATAAAATTATAAAGCAAAAAATGTAGATTCACCTAGGGTTGGCATTTGGCCAGGCAAGAATATTTTTTAAAGTAACTACAATCTTGTTTTTCCTATCATTTTCTAGAGGAAAGGCCATTTAACTCCCAATCACAGACAAGAGGACAGTCCTGCAAATTGAATATATTTGGCATTATGGAAAACTCACACATGCCTCAAGGATTTTCCTGTTTTTTAGGAACTAGGAAAAGACCAGTTATAGACCAGCAGTTGGGAACAGTTAACCTAGCTGTCTCAAGTAATTCTGGAGGCTCACCAGCCACGTTCATAGCATTTGGCAAAGTTGCAGCAGCACTTTCTGAAAGCCAGCTGAGAAAAAACAAGATCCAGCTTTCAAACACTGATAGTTCTAGGGCACATCTTACTCTACTGTACCGGATAGATGAGTCCCTGAAGGTAAATATTTGTTTCAAACACTAGGAGACCTATGGCAGATCTTGACTACACAAGATGTTCCTGCTACAGCCCTTCCCACTGGGGTTCCAAAACAGAGCTGTTGATTCCCTAAGAGAATCCTGGGACTCAGCAGGCTTTCCCTGCCTTATTCACACTTTAGGATCCCATGTAGGAATAATTCAGAGTAGATCCAGGATTAATGGAGTCAGACCTGAAAATTAAACAGACATGAAAAGCTAGAAACTGGGATTTCTGGTCCAAAATTGAGCATTAATTCACTTTAGTGTTCCTGGGCTGTGGTACTAGGGTGGGAGTACTGATGAATGCTCCAGTAGTTCTGGATGCTCTCTGATCCTCCTCTGCTTTGAGTCAATGCCTGAAGTCATTGTTTGGAAGTGGAGTGGGGGAGAGTAGTAGAAATAAATGGAAGGTACTAACAACAGAGAAATATTTCTCATATAGTTGTCAGCAGCCATTCCTGTCCTGGGCACCCTTTTCCCAAACATGTTCTTTACTTGAGCTGAGTTCCCCCTGAACAAGGCTTTCTTGTGTGTATTTTCCTAAGTAGCTGGACCTCAGCAAGTGTGAGTGCTCTTGGTAAAAACACAGCTACTACCCCAAAACTGTTTTGAGGTTGGAGTCCTTTTTCTGGAAAGGGAACAGCAACCCTGACAAATGGCTTTCCCCTCTGTTTTGTCCTTCAGTAACAAAGGGAATAAATAGAGAGTAAGGAGGAGAAGCAGGTTTTTTCTGCACTGTATACTCCTTTCTGCTATCTTCAGTTCCAGGATCTTCACAGGTTATGGGTATGCACACATGCATGTGTGTGTGTATGTTTATGTGCACATGTGAAAGTTTCAATTACCTGGAGTTTTAAATTGGGTTAAAAAAAGATCACTTGCTTCTGGATATCAACCCAGTAAAGCTGAAAAGAGCTTCCCAGCTTTGTGGCTACAGAAGGATGAACAAATTACGTAGTCTATGTGTGCCTCAGGTTCTGGGAAACTCAGCTAGTATCATCTACCTTATAAGGTCTTGAGGATTAAGAGAGTGTTGTATCAGGCAACCTAGTGCATTGGATTCTTATTATACACTGTTTACACATCATAATATTGTGATTTTATTCATTATCAAATGAAAGTATGTGTGAGATATGGTCTGTGACTCTCTCCCCTTTCCCCATTCTGTGGTGCAAGCAGCACAGCAAAGTTTATGTTAAGAGCTGCCACAAGGGCCAGTGGTTGGAGGAATAGCAATATTTGCCTTATGCTTCAGGTATTTACAAAGCACTCTGTTGTGATTTCACTTGCTCTTATAGTAGCTCTGTACTATCAGTAATATTAAGGAACAGATACCCCGTATATGGAGAGTCAGACTAAGGCCTGAGGTTGTGAATGAAGTACAGCTTTAAAACACCTATGCAGCTACTCAGCAGTGGTCCCCCTGGGTCTTAGCATCTGCGGTGCCCTGCCAACTGCTTTTCCATTAGGACAGCTGTGTTGATCTGTATTCAGAAGCTGTGTTATCTCTGAGCAGGCCTTTGCCACAGTGAGATTTTGTTCCTGTCAACTCACATTTCCTTGCTTCTTTCTCCAGTGGCTGGTGAAACGAGCTATAGAAACAAGAGAAGAGATGGGTGACTACATCCGTTCCTACTCCATATCCCAATTCCAGAAAACGTACAGTCTCCCCGAGGTCAGTATTATGCTTTTCTTTTTTGTTCACTGAGAATGGGATTGTACACTTAGAGACTCCCCAGAAAGGAGGACAGTAAGCTTAGTTGGTCCCCTCTTGGTCTCACCCCAGCATTGAAGTGGGCCTTGTGCTTCAATAGACGTGCCTGTTTCGATGTCCCTAGAGTGTAAAGCCCTAAATGGTGTCATTTTCTTTGAATTTTGTTACTTGATCCAGAACTTCTATTAAATTTCAAAAACAAGAGTGTACTTTTATGTAAAGTTTTTTGAGAGATTACTTGCCTAGGTCATTTCTATAGTAATTATAATAATTAAGCAACAGTAATAATAACTAAGCACTGTGAACCACTTGCTGCATGCCAACATGTCACGACTTCTGTCCTTTCAAGTAGGTATTAGTGTCCTTGTTCTGCTCAGATCACTTGCCTTAATGACTACAGTCCATGGCCCTCATTCTTCTTACTGGCAGAACGCATCTGTGGTGAAGCCATCTGCAGAGATCCTAGCCTTTTTCCATGGAGAATACAGTATATTCCAGTTTGTTAGAAAGTGAAAACGACTTGAAGCAACATAGTGATAAGAGTCGGTTTATAAGGAAGATTTTTGAAGGGTCCTATTCTGTTTTAATCTTTATATGGGATTTGTTTAATTCCTATGTTTCTCCCTTTCAGGATGATGACTTCATAAAAAGAAAAGACAAGGCCATCAAGACAGTTGTCAACCTCTCAGTAAGTTCCCTTGTCCATATTCTTCTGTCCTGGCACCAGTGCCGCAGTCTCCAAAAGCCCTTTGTTTAACTCATAGATCAAGCTGCTGGGATTGCCCAGGAGCTAAGCTTTGATAGGTGTTGGAGGGAAGCCTACGCTGCTCCAATGTGCTCACTGCCAGGACACCACTATCAATAGGTAGAATGTGCCACAACCAGTGCCTGAGATCTTGGTTTCAGTTTTAAGGGAGAAATACCCAAATTCAAAGTGCTTTATCATTTATTGCAGTGGCAAGAGTAAATTTTGAATGGCTCCAAAGAGCAGACAGTGAACTGGAAATGATAAATTGAGGGTAGTGCTGCACATCCACTCCCACTATGATTCTGAAGAGACAGAGCAGTTTCTGAGTCTTGTGTGGGGAACTGTAGGGTGCCCGTTGTCACCATACAAGGTACAACGGTACAATTTAATTATTGGGAGTCTGTACACCTGCACTCATTCCCTACACCATTCCCCAGCATTCTTTTTTTTTTTTTGAGACATGGTCTCACTATGTAGTTCAGGCTGGCCATGAACTCACTGGCCCAGGGTGGCCTCTTAATTTGTAGTGATCCTCCAGCCTTCTGAGTGCTGGGATTACAGGTGTGCACCACCACGCCCAGTGAGCTGGTGCATTTCAAAACAGTGTGAACCAGAGCCAAAGGAACATTGTTAGTGGCGCTTGTACTATTTGAGTTTCATGCTAAGTTTATATATCATCTATTCAAAATCAGTAAGTATAAATTAAAATTTTAATCTTAACTGAATAAACTTTATGTTTAAATCTCCTTGGGTACAGAGTGGAAACATACCGAAATACAGTATTCAGTCCCATAACTCAGAAACCAAAAAAGTTTTATGTTGCTATTGAACTTTCTATCAGTGAAGTTGGGTCTGGCATCTCTCATCTCTACACCTACAAAATAGTTATAGACCATTAGAGATAATATTTCTTTTTGTCATTTGTAATAGAGTGTTGTTTTCATTTTTAATCCGTTTTTGCTTGGTGATGTGACTGCATAGAATTTGAGGAGATATAGCCAGCATGGTGGCACGTGCCTGTAACCTCAGCACTTGGGAGGCTGAGGCAGGAGGATTGCCATGAGTTTGAGGCCAGCCTGGGCTACATAGTGTGTTCAAGACCAGACTGAACTACATAATGAAACCCTGTCTCAAAATAACAAGCAAAGAATTTGAGGAGATAATGATAATGGACATAGTCCCCAAACATTATTCTGAATGTTTCTAATACGTTTAGTTCTCACAGCAATCCCATGAATTAGTAGTATTTACAAATGAAGAACCTGAGAAACAGTTGTTCAAGGTTACGGTGGTAATGCTAGAGCCAAGATTCAAACCTGGTTAGTCCCTCTGCTATGACCCTCTAAAACACTGTTTGCAGCTGATTAGAAAACAATATCAGAATATAGGAAAAGAGGAAAAAAATGTGGAGTCTTTTCAATTAAAATTTGTATTTCTTAGTTCATTTTCTTCTTTATGTGTGAACTTGAAGCTCATTTGACTGGCAAACGTTTTTAGCAGGAATAGTAAAGAATTTTTATGGATTGACTGGAGGTTACCTTTGGGTGTTGTTTTCTCCTTTTCTCATCTACTGAAAACACTTTTCCCTTCAGAAGCTGTCTCAGGTTTCTCAGCTCAGCTCCAATATGTTCATCCCTTTCTTCTGCCACTTCTGCATGGACTTTCTTAGCTGGTTTGAAATGAGTCCCAGAAGTTTGCAGGAGATGCTGAGGCTACAGTACACATGTTATGAGCAACATTCTGAACTGAACAGCTTGCAGTTTATTTGTTGTATTTGCCCCAGGAAAATCCCTCCTTTCTTAAGAGGGAAGGAAACCTGTCCTTTTCCTAGGGCTTAGGTTCTGGAGGGTGTTCTCTTTCCCTTCCAGCTATTTATTTGCCAGTGCTGCCTTGCAGATGGCTTGTAGGTGCTGTGTGCCTGCTCTGTATTGACGAATTTAGAATCAGAAATTTAAATTGTGAATGAGAAGTTAATGAATAAAATATGATCAAGATGTCTAGTTTCCAGACCCAGTATTTATTGAGTACTTGGTACCTAAATGAGGTATTTAACTCTCATCGACACTCACAGAGTTATATATTATTAATTCCATTTTCTAAATCAGGAAATTGAAGTCACAAAGGTTAGTAAATTTCCTGTATACCTGCAGAGCAAGGAGGAGGCAACCAGATTTTGATCTACATCTAACTCCCTCACAACATGGCTAGTGCTTCTCCTGTTTTCCAGCTCTTCCCCTGATCTCTACTTCCTACAAATTCCTGGCACCCATTTGAGAATAATGTGCTGACTTATTTCTGACTTCTGATGTATTGTTCACCTGGGTCCCAGAGACTCAGACACTGATCCATAGTGGTTGGACATTCTTTTACCACCTCTTCGGTCCTTGGGGGCATGTTCCATTCTTCCGATTTGCTGATTGGAGAATGGATTCCAGGTGGAGACTGTCTTGATACCTTCTTTCTTAATCTGTCACCATGATACCATGGTGATCCCACCAGTAGGCTTTCACTTATTCTGATTTACACATAATCTCTTTTTGAGAAATAGATACTAAACATTTAGATGTTAAATATTTAGCTTATTCTTGTCTTTGGCCATCCTTAAAAAACTGTTCCAGTCCTTTGCGTTGCATTTTTCTTTGGCTACATTTTCCATCCAGTTTTTTGGTGCATGATTTTGTTTTGTTTTGTTTTAAAAGGGGTTATTTTTCTTTAGCACTAATATTGGAGTATTGATAATGAAATATTAGGAAATGAAGAAATGCAAAGATTAAATCAGTCATGATACCACCATTAGGGATAACCACTGATGTAATAAGTAGGAAAGAGAGGTAGGGATATCGCTGTATTGAAAGCTTGAAAAAATAACTTTATTCAGTATGTTCAGTTTTGTTGCTTGATTGTTTTGCTTAATAATAGATTGAGAATATCTTCCCATGCCAATAAATGTACGTCCATAGCATTTTTTTTAGTGGCTGCAGGTTATTTGTCATAGAGACCTAATTTAACTAGTTTAGCTGGCATCTTTTTTCCTCTTGGTCATTATGTAGGATATCCTCATAACTAATTTTTCTTTTATCTCTATTTACTAGGATGTATTTCGTAAAGTAGAATTGGGTCAAAGGTTATGCTGACAGCTATTAGACCACTTGGCAGATGCCCAAGCAGAAAACTGTAGTGAACTAACATTTGAGCTCATCAGTTTGGGTATTCTCTTTTGTCTTGGCCTCATTTGTCTTCTTTCTGGAGATTATTCTAAATATTTTTGCTTTTTTGTTTGAATATGTTTTCTTCTTCCTGACCCTTTTTTCACAACATAGCCATCTGTTTTACAGAAGATCTCTCCTCTGGAAGGTGGTATTTGGAGAGGCCATAACAAATGGAAACTCCCCAATATAGGCCTCCCTTACTTCCCTTCCACTTCTCAGTCATAATCATAATCAGCTCATTTGTCTTACTTGTGCTATTACACCACTTACTTCTTCCCCTTCTGAGCAGTCAGCCCTCCATATCCATGAGGGATGTGTCCTGTGAATGAGGTCTTTTACTTGCTCTTAACTTTGAATAAAGGTAGAGTACCTACAAAATTTTACCCAAAGCCCCCAAATATTTATATTTTTGTAATGTTTAGAATTTTACATGAGAATAGAGAAGACAGAAAAGGAGGGGGAGGGGGAGGAAGAGGAAAAGAAGAAGAAAAAGGACTTCTTAGAGCTTCCATTTGGAAGAAAATGCTTTGTTGAACTTATTTGATCACCTAAGAGATCGAATTTTAAAAGATTTAAAGAGATCAGATTTAAAATTCCTACTTCAGTGTTTTCTTCCATAGGGAATGCTTTGAGGAAGACTTTTTCATTCAGCGATAAAATGTAGATGTGGTGACAGTAAAACAATAGAGTACATTTTCCTAATAATAACATACATACATCTGTATATAGGTATATGTTATATATATCAATATTCTATAGCTAATTGATAAGTATAGATATATATCTTTGCCCCTTCTGTGTGTCAGGTACTATTAAATACATTTATTAGTTAGTCCTCATAATTCTTACACCTGTTTTACAGATGGGAAGCCACAGAAGTTAAAGTAACAGAGGGAGGGAAATGTCACCTCCTGAGAGTTGAGTATCAGTGACCACTAGAGCTTTTGAATGTAGAGTGCCAGATTGGTAGTGGCTGTTTCATGGCCTGCTCCATTTTTAATGAAGTAGGTGTCTGTGGTAATTGTGAGGGCAGCAATTGGGCTTGCAGCAGACACTGCTGTGGTGCTGTGATATTCTACTTCCCTGTGCTGCCATTTGGAATGTGGGCTCAGAGGTGTCACTCTGACAGGTGGACCAACAAACCAGACCTGCAAATTGAGATCTGACTCTCATGGTTCAGAAGTATCCTACTTTACAAAACGGTCACCTTAATTTTTTTAAACCCTACTCAAGTGTCCTTTATCTTCTTCCAAGACAAAATAGGAGAATCTACAATGAAGGATGATTGGAATTGAGACATAGAACATTTTACAGAGTGCTTCGGAGTCCCAATTCTGGTGTCCTCCTGTCTCTGTCATTTACTACCTTGGTAACCATGGGCAAGATTTTTAATTTCTTTGCCTAAGTTTTATATAGATAGCTAGGATACTATATTCATGTGTGTAAGGATCAAGTGGGCAGCACATAGAGAGCAGTCTGCCTGCCTGACACAACCAACCACTGATAAATGACACCCATTACCACCATGATCACTGTTAATAACGAAAGAGTAAGTTGATTCTGTATACCTGTTTTAAAAAGACCATAATCATTTGTAAAGCATGACTTTTTTTAATTAACCTCAGACTTGAAGTTATTGACACAATTATGTTACCAAATCAGTATCTTTATTGGTTTAAAAAAAACAAAGAATGAGAGACTGGGACTGTCCTCCCAGATCTTTTAGTCTGTGCTCATTTTACAGATAAGCAAGTACAAGGTCCTGAGTTTGATCCCTGGTACCAAAACTGATGAAGCTTGTTGAGGGGAACCTCTTTCCCAACTTCGTAACAGTTGGTTAGTGGCAGAGATAGGACTAGATGACATTCCTGACTGCTGTTGCTTTAGCAGTAGTTATTTTATAGTGGCCTAGAAAACTGACGTTTAGGTCTTTATTGCTTAATAAACTGTTGTAATGATCCATGTGGCTGCTACAGGTAGTATAATGAGTCTTATGAGAGGGCTAGATGAAATGGCTCATGGTTGGCTAGAATGTCTACACAGGCAAATTAGTATAGTAGGAAGCTTTGAGATTAGCAGCCAAGGAACCAATGGCTTAATACTATTCTAGGGATCTTGGACAAATTATTTCATCTCTGCTTCCTTGGTGAAGTAAAAATTACTATTATGGGGCCAGAGATTTAGCTCAGTGGTTCTGCTGCCTACCTCGCAAGCATAAGGTTCTGAGTTTGATCCCTGGTACCAAAAAAAAAAAAAATTATTATTATTATCTACCTTGTCCCTACTTCTCAGTGTAGTTATAAAATGTAAGCTATTCATGAGCTTAGTTCTTTCTGTGATTCTGGTCGCAAACCGAATTGGATGAGAACCCAGTCAAATTTCTCCACAAAGTCAACATTGAACCTAACCATTGAATTTGATTGGTTCTAGTCTAATTTGGTTTTCAACCAGAATCATGGAAAGAATTGAGTTCATGAACTGAGCTCGGGCCGGGGATTTAGCTCAGTGGTTCTGGTGCCTGCCTCAAAAGTGCAAGGTCCTGAGTTCTATCCCTGGTACCAAAAAAAAAACAAAAAAGATAATGAACTGAGGCACTAATTTATATGAAGGTTTATACTTGAAAATAAAAAGTACTTAAAAAGCCAACATCATCATTGTGTGGCAGAATAAAAGGTACTTTTAACTGTTGATTTCATCATTCTGTTGTCCTTTTTTAGAAGAATCCAATTTCCTGCCTTGGGTCACTGACTCTTTCAGTGGTAACTAAGGAAGATAGCAGTTAACCACAATTATATAGCACTTCTATAATAGTAGAGCTATTTATTTGTAATAGTAGAGCTATTCAATTTCAGTGAAAATTAAATTACATTTAATATGTCATTATATTTTTCACTTCATTATAAGTCTGTTTATGTTATTTATAGCTTCCCATTCATGTGAACACCAGGAGCAAACCAGAGAATTTTTGCAGGAATTTGTGAGAACAACCTTGTAGCATTGTCCTGGGCCATGTTATTTTCCCTCTTCCACAGAATTGTTGAGATTTTACAGTGTGTCACAGATTGTTTGAAATTTTTTATAATCAAAAGTAAAATTGTGGGCCAGGGATTTAGCTCAGTGGTTCCACCACCTGCCTCGCAAGCACAAGGTCCTGAGTTTGATCCCTGGTACCAGAAAAACAAAAATAACACAAAGAGCCAGAATTATTGGGGGCGGGGGGCACACAATTCAAATTGAAATAAAACATCACTATCTGGTGAAAGCTGATAGTAATGCTTGTCATGTGATTTTCCAGGAACAAGCATCTAGCTCCTTGTTGGCACTACAGCTGCCTGCTCACAGCAAACCTGAGCAAATTTTACTGAGATATTAATTGACTGCCCACCTAACAATAAGGACATTCATTTGGGGTAGAATGACAAAGCAGGTCACCTGGGGATGAAGGCCTGCATTTATTGAGCACCCACTATATACCTCATACTATGTATACAATATGTGTGTGTGTGTGTGTGTGTGTGTATATATATATTTACTTCAGATTGTGTGCCATACAAAATAGATCTATATTTACTTCTGTATTTTCTAAAATGTACTCTTAGCTGAGCAGTGGCACAAGCCTGTTATCCTAGACTCAAGAGGCTAAAGGAGGGGGATTGCTTGAACCTAGGATTTGGAGACCAATATGGATAACATAATATACATTACTCTGAATGTTTTTAATCAGTCTACTTTTCTAGTATTAGAGTTTAAACAAACTGAAATCTCCTTTGACATGCAGAAATTTTATTTTTAGGATTCTGTTAACATGTATGTCTGTGATGGGTGAACTGGCTTGTGGCTCTGGGTGGTAGAAGGGTGTTCATTATATGACTGTTCACTTCAAAGTTTGCATTCAAGAATAAAAAGACTTCAGAGGAGAAATCTAAATCCTTGCTTCTCAAGATTATATTATATATTATAATAATTATATGGAGTATTATAAAGGTTTCCATTCTTCCCAAAATAATCCAGATTTGGTGTGATTCTAATAAAAACCAACAGTGTTTTTTATAGTGAACTTGACAGGCTGATACAGGAATTCATTTGGAAAAGAAAATGTTTAAGGCAGTGTTACGGCTGTGTTTAGATGTCCTCCCAAGCCTCATGCAGTCACAGGTAGGGCTTTTTTTGGAATTGATTCCTGATGCAATGCTAGGCTCAGGGGCGCAAGAACTAAGGGTGTGGGTGCTACCCCCACTCTCAGTAGTCTGCATAAGATCAAAGGGGCAGAAAGATGCTATGGAGGGCCCCTCCCTCGATCCCTTGTTGCTTTTGCTACCCTTTGGGCACCATGAGCTGTTTCTCCTCTGTGATGTCCCTCTGCCATGTGCCACTCTGCTGTAGAGCCAGCCGATTATGGACTGAATCCTCTACAACCTGTGAGCGAAATAAACCCTTTCCCCTTTAACCTTGGTTGTTGGGTATTTTGCCTGAGCAAGGAGAAAAGTAAATAAGATAAGAAATTTGAAAATAAAGAATAGTGGAGAGATAGGATGGGGAAGTACAAAAACAAAACAAAGACACATTATATGGAATTCAGTGTTAATTTAGGTACCATTTCAAATCTCTAAAAGGATATTTTAAATTAACAGTGTTGGGATTCTTAATTATCTATTCAGAAAAAAAAGTTGGATTTCTACTTTTCACTATAGCAAAAATATTTTAATAGGTTGAGAGTTCAAATGTAAACTATAATCTAAACATAAACTATAAAAGTAACATGAGTTTTTTTTTAAAACAATCTGTGGGGTAAGAAGTGAAGCAAGCTGTGATAGGAGGCTGAAACAGGAGGATCACTTGTTTGAGCCTAGCCTGGGCAACTTGGAGACTTGATGAAACCTTGGCTCAGGATAAAAAATGAAGAGATGTTTGTGGTAAGGTAGATCAGTGCCAAGGCTCTTGGTTCAATCACTGATACAGCCAAAAATATAATGTAATGTATCTGAGCACTGTAAAGAAAATGATAAAACTGAATGTGTAAAATCATTGAAATGTCATAGAACCAAAATTTATCCAAATTGAAGGTTGATAAACTTTAATATTTGGGTGAAGATATTTGCTACAGAAATAGAAGTGAAAGGAACAATACTCAGATTATAAAACATGCTTACAGATCAGTAAGAAAATAACAAGTTAATCAACAGAAGAACAGGATATGAGTGAGATATATGGCAGTAAACAAGACTCCTAGGTTCACTAATAATTTGGAGAGTACAAAACAAAATAGTGAAGTTTGTAACCTATAAAATGTGTAAAAATTAAAAGCTTATAAATATTTGCTATTGCCAAAGGTATGGTTAACACATTGCTAGGCACTTAAATCAGTACAGTTTGTTTCTTTGTTTGGCTCAGCTTGGTAGGTAAACACCCTTTCCTTCAAACCAGTATTTCTAAGTTTTTGTGTTACTGATTTACTTGCACATAAGTACAAGCGTTGTTTATAATTAAAAACTTGAATGTTACCTAAATGTGCTTCAGTAGGTTATATAAACTAGGCAATATCTATGTTAAGGAATATTACATCTAGTTAAAAAGAATGAAGTGGATTTGTGTGTTTATTTCATGAAAATAGCACCAATATATATTTGAAAATATGGTAAGTTATGTAACTATATATTGAGTATATTTTCCCTTATATAAGAAAAACTATCTAAAAATGTATGTTATACACATGTAATTATGTAAATATACAAAGGTTGGAAGGGTGTGCACCTATCAGACAGATAGTGGTGTCTGTGGAGAAAAGTTAGATTTAGGGAAAAAGAGGGTGAGGCAGGACTTTTTAAAAAAATTTGCATCCTTCATTGAAACTTTTTACAGGAATATATCCACTTGTAAAATTATGTAACTTAAAGCAAATACAGAATACCTCAAAAAGCTAAGAGTATTTGATTACTTTCTGGGCTTTGTTCCATTTTTATTTATGCAACAGTAAAAGGACAGTGACTGTTTTCACTTCTGTTAATGATGTAGAAGGGTACATAGCAAACACAGTGTTAACTTGTTGGGCAGGGTTGTTGATCCATAAATTTATACACTTGAATCTTTTTCATTGAGCACTGATCATTGTAATAACTTAAATGATTAAGAGCGAAGGCCCCTCTTTTGTAGATGGTAGAACCTTTTCTGTTTCTCCACTAACATGGTGTGTAAGCATAAACAGATCATCTCAAATAACCAAAAGTGTCATTCATAGTCTTACCCAGGCTTTCACAAGCTTTGTCTCTCTGTCTCCTATAGAACAAACTCCCTCAAGGCAGCTTGCCAGGATGCCCTGTCCTATAGCAGAAGCACGGATGGCTCACTCTATGGCCCTTCCTGGCTGGAGGTATCCAGCTGCCTGAACAGCTGCTTGTTTAGAAGAGCCTTCTTATACTCAGTAACTTGTCTGTTTCACCCACTTAGGATGTTTACAAGCCCCGTCGGAAGTACAAACGCCAACAGGGAGCGGAGGAGCTACTTGATGAAGAATCTCGAATCCACGCTACACTTTTGGAATATGGCAGGTAGTAAATGAGGCCCAGTCTAGGTGTCTGTTTCATAAAAGAAAAGCTGATTTAAATTGCTTCATTTGGATTAACTGGGTTCTATCTGACCAAGTTTATTATTTTTACCGCTGAGATGTCCAGCATCAGGAACTTTTCTCTGGTATTAGCTAAGTTTCTGTGGCTTGCCTTTGCAGTTGCCCCCTGGAAATGTGCTTATGACTGTGGCCCTGGCTCTGCCCTTCTGGGGCATTTATAGAGGCTGTGGCATGTCTGAACATCAATCCCTGCCACTTATTAATACCTTTAGTAAACAGAAAAAATGGGAGCATTTTCAGCAGTTTTATGCTGTTAGAATGATAATTTTGAATTTCGGTGACTGTTGTCCTAATTAGAGAAGTAAAGACTTTTGAAGTAGTATTGTCACTTCTTAACAATACCTAGTTTTTTAAAAAGTTATTTTATAACCTATTTTTACCTTTGAAACCTACTAGGACTGCTTCTCTCCATTAAATGTTTTGGTTGACACTGGGTATTAACCTTCATTTATATCCTGCATTCTTTACTTAGGGTATCCCATCCTTTGATGTAAGTATATTTCCTTCTGCACCTTCTGCTGTTTGGGCAGAGGCTCCTGTAGAATGCTTTGCCTTACAGTGCAGTCCTTCTTGGGTGGCTAGAACTAACTGCACTGTCATTAGCATCTCCCTGATGAGCATCTGATAGCTTTCTTCTTTAGGGTACTGGAGAAAACCAGTAGGACCGAAATTAGGCTGAATTATTGTAGCTTTCCAAGGAAAGGCATGACTTTTTTCTTTGATATGATAGTATGAAGGCAAGTCTTTCCTTTTGAAAGGTAAAAACTAGCCTGCCTAAAAAGAAGTTGAGTTAGTTCTGGCCCTACGCTAGTTGTGATGGCTGCCTTCATGTCTCACAGTTGCTGCCTGAGTCAGGAGCCCAGACCAGTTACATAATTTTGGAAGCCTAGTGAAAATGCAAGAAAAAAGCAGTAACACCCAAGTATAGGGCCAAGTATAGCTGAGTGTGGGGCTCTATGCTCCTGGGTGGGTTGCATGCTTATAAACATCCCACGCCCTCCCTCTCTCACCCCCCTTCAACCTGCCCACTCCCAAGCTCTGTGAGAGGATTCTCTTCAGCCAATACCATGTTATAAAATTGTAAGTGAGCAGAGGATGCCACACAGCTCTGGAAAGCCAGAGAGGGAGAGAACAACTCTAGTGGCATCACATGCCCCAGAGCTCCTGAGTAATGCTTGTGGGAATGTAGTGAATTTTGTTAGTTTGTATTGTTCACGCCTCCATTTTTTCAATTTTCTTAGATGTTCCTGGAGATGAAAATTTGATGTTCCTAGGGAAGAAAAGGTGTCATAAATTCAGTAAATTGCCTACCTCAGTGAGACCATGTTAACAGTATTTCAGTATCTTACTATGATAATTCTCAGTTTCGAATGGGAGCTTTTGTGTATGGGTTGTAGATGGCAGTCATCACCATGTGAAGGCATGGTGATCCCAGAATGGTCCTGGTTACCTTGGACTGGATGATGCAGTTTGAGGCTAGTATGTGGCTTGACTACCTTTAGGGAAGGGAGCAAGGCACAGGTTTTGTGTAACTCCTCTAAATTCTGACTATGGGAAAGCGTGAAGGGTCCTAATCCTTGTCTTCATTCCTTTTGGTGGGGATCACGCTCATTTCTCAGGCAGGAATAGTGGTTTAGGTTATTTTTGGTGGTATTTGTTTGTGGTTTGTCTTTTTGTTGTTGTTTGGTTTGGTTTGGTTTTTTTCCTGTCAGAGAGGATGAGTTTATGGGAGGTGGGATAGTGGACGCTTTGAGCATTCTCATAATTTATTTAGTTTATTTATCTCCTTGAGAAAAATAATGATGGTACTCAGAATGGTTGAAAAATATCTTGTCTAAGGTCACAGAACTATTAAGAGACTCAACCCAGGACTTGAATTCTGTCTCTTGAACTCTAAAAGTATATTGTTATCATTGCCTTCAAATACTGTTTGATGCTACAGTAGGAATATATTGTTAGACTCATGGTTTTAGAAAAATAGACCTAATCTGTTGTTTGCTCAGGGACTGAATGAGAATATAGTAGTTATGAAACTATCAGAGCAAATTAGATAAAACTTAAGATGATCACCCTCCCTGGAAATACCTACCCATCTTCTCTGGCCATCTGAGTCGTTCCACCCGGTTCTGTTCTGTACTCTCTCCACTGCATGGAGTTCTTCCTTATTAAATGAGACTCATATAACATATATAAAATTAATTTTTTGAGCCATTTGTCTTATGTAAATGTGAACTACTAGCTGTCGTCATCATTGTCTTTGTCAGCAGCAGCAGCAGTAGCTTTTAGCTCTCAAATGCCTTTAGTATGAACTGTAGGTTCACATGAAGGCTCTATCTTAGGGTTAGTCTTTCCTCCATGTCCCTGTGCACTAAACCCTCCCTTCAACATGTGTGTGGGAACTCTCACTTTCTCCCCCTTCTGCTTTCAGGCCAGGCTGGCCTTCTGCTCGGTTTCCAGCCTCCCTCTCCCTTCACTGCTGGCACTCTTGAATTCCTCATCCCTACTATATGGTGCATGACTGTAGGAGTCCAGATCCCTCATCTGTGATCAGGGATTTCTGTATTCCAACTCATCTCTTGACAAGGGGAAAGTATTCTAATTCGTACAGCAAGAATATCTGAAAATAGTATCACAGGTTACCAATCATAGCCCTAAACCCCCAGCACTCTCTTGCCATGAAGTCAGCATTTTAGTTTCTTTCCCCTTTTCTGACTTGGAATTACCAAAATAAAGCTGAAGTTTGAGCCTAGTCAGCAATACTAAAGGTCTTATCTGTTAAAATGTGTTTGGGTATATTTTTCTAAATGTTGTCATGTTAGAATAACAAGACTACAGTTTTGATTTTATATTTAAAATTACAGTCCTGTAATTTGTTTTTTATTATTGATCTGGAGGCTAACTTGAACACCTAACTGTGCTACAAAATGGGTACTATGAAAAAATGTACCTTAGATACTGAATATTTGGCATTCAAGAGGAATTTTAGAGTATAACCACTAGGATGTTGGAGTAGTCTATTCCATAGTATAAGACCCTTAATTTTGACTTGACTTGCAGCCATTCTGTAGTCAGGAAATAAAAATTACAAGTCACTCCCAAGCTATTCGTGTCCCTATATAACATGCTCATAAAAGATACTTAGTGAATTCTTATTGAATGAACAAAGAACAAAGTTCACAGTCCCTAATGTTTATGGCTTTTTATTCCCCTGTTGCTCTGGATTTCAAACAGATAATTATCTTACTTTTATTCTGGAATATTAGTTTGTATTCTGGAATGGTGATGTCTATTATGGTAGCTAGTAGGTGTATGTGACTGTTGAGCAGTTGAAATGTGACTACCACTCAGAAACAGAATTTTAATCGTAATTGAATTTTAATTTAAAAACTCATGCTCAATTTAGCTACTAGAAATACATAAGTATGTTTGGAATAACTTAGGTGTGTTACTCTACTAAAAAAAATCATGTGTGTGGCTCTTGTTATATTTCTTTTGGATAGTGCTACTTTAGAAGGTGTACATCCTGGGATTAAAGACCATGTCCTGGGTCTAGGGTATGAGGATTGAACTGGGTGACAAGAGGACCAAAGCTCTGTTGGTGCTGATGGTACGAGACAGTGACAGAGGGATGAGTTACATCTAAAGGAGGGGAAAGCAGGGACAAGTGGAAGCACAGGGTGCTGTGAGTACATGGTGCTGGCACTTGGAAAGACAAGCAGGGTTGGCAGGACAAGAGGAAAAGGAGGGCATAGTGTAGAGCAGCATCACTAGAAAGAAAAGGAAAGTAGGTGCTTTTCTGATAGAAGTAAGGTAAAGCCCTTTCCTTTTTCTGAGGGATGAGAGGCACAGAGGGCTATCATGGGCCCCTGGTAAAAATCAGACACAGAGAAGTCTCTCAGAGTTACAAGGACAAGTGGATACAGTGAGGCAGGTGTTTTTAGGAGCAGAGGGCAGCTCTTTCTCATGAAAGCAGTGCTTCCTACCGTGCCACACAGAGGGAGCCTTGGAGAAAAATCAGCTGAACTCTTCATTCACAAACATTTATTGGGTCCCTGCTTTGTGCCAGGCTTCAAACTAAGTAGTCAGTGGCAATAAGAAAGTGAATGATGTACCATGAGTTTTCTCAGCAGATGCATTTATAATAGCCCAAAGTAGAAGGAACCCACATGCTTATCAGCTGAGGAACAGGTAAACAAAATGTAGTTTTCCCATACAATGGAATATTGTTTGCCATGAAAAGGGAAGAAGTACTGATTAATGCTGCAACCTGGATGAACTTTGGAAATACGCTAATTAAGAGAAGGCTATATATTACATGATTTCATTTGTATGAAAGGAACAAGCAAATCGGTAGATATAGAAAGTAGATTAATAGTAGCTAAGAGTTGATGAGAAGGGAGAATTAGTACTGTTAATAGTAAGTACAGGGTTTCTTTTTGGGGTGATGAAACTATTGGGTATTTAAGGTGATGTTTGCACAACATAGTACACTAAACAAACAAATACTTTGAATTGCTGAATTTTACATTGTATGAATTATACCTCAGTTTTTGAGTTTTTTATATTTATTTGTTGGTCTTTTGAGATAGCATTTTGCTATGTAGCACAGGCTGACCTTGAACTTGCTGTATAGACAACGTTGGACTCAAACTCATGATCCTCCTGCCTCAGCCTCCTAAGTGCGGGTGTTATAAGCCGGCACCACCATGATACCTCAGTTTTTTTAATGTTAAAAATAAATGTGAATAAATCAAATTCCTCCTTCCAGGAACTTAAGAGGCAAGCCTGAAGGATTACATATAGTAGATAATTACTTAATGCTGTGTGATGGGTGTGCTTGTAATACAAAGAAGACACACATAACTGGGAGGCTAACGTGGTTTTACGTGGTCAGAAGAGTTTACCTAGAACCTGTGTCATTATGGAGGAATACATGGAACTTAGGGATTGAGTCACTCAGATTTAGTCATTTATTGCTCCATTTGGATAGTTTATAAAGCCCCTGGGCCTTAGGTTAGGACTTGCTACCTGAGGGTCTCTACATACTAAAGGCCTGGAAAAGGAAGGAATGTCCTAGGTGCAGGACATGAATGAGAAGCTTTGGTGAGACCTTGTGTTGGTCAGGTTTCCCTGTGTGAGAATAGGGTCTTGACGCTAGTTTCAGCAGAAGGGCTTCATTGATTGCAGGGAATGATGGGTACTAGGCTCAGCTCCCAGGCCTCACACTAGAGCTGGGCCAAGGGAGCTACTTCTGTCTACATGCTTAGGAAGCTAGCTAGCAACCTGAGGAATTAGAAAACTGGTGCTGCAGCTGCCCACAGGGAACCACACCATTTCTGCCAAAATCAGGAAGCTCTCTCTGTAAGTCCAGGAAGCCATTGTGACAGCTGCTGATCCTCAAACCACACTTCTAATGTGATCCATGCCAGTACAGTGGATTCTCTGTGTGCTCCTTATCTCCTCATTTAACTGTTCCACATTCAAAACTCCAACAAATTCTTCCCATTGACGGGACCTAAACAGCAATCAGAACCCTAGCTGTCAGAACTATGGAAAACAGTCTTCATTTTCTGCTTCTGCTATAGTACTACAGGAAGATGTAATGATTTTGATTAGGCCACTTCACACAGTCTGCCTTAAGGGCCTTTACAGAATTTGTGTGGAGACCTAAATAGCTTTAGATTCAGTCTGCTATACTTTGGTCCTGTAGACTCATCTCTAAAGGACAGGAACATTCCCTAGGTCTCCAGTTAGATGACAGAAAGCCCAGCCTCCACTTACAGCATCTTGATTTCTGCATTTTTTTCATTTATGTTTAGTTTATTGATTTAGTAAACATTGGCGATACAAAATATAAAAGGGAGGCTGGGAGGTAGCTCTGTGGTAGTATGCTTCTTAGCATACAAGAAGCCTTGGGTTCAATCCCCACCATCACAAAAAGAAGACAGAATATAAAAGTAGGATCATTGCCCTCAAGAAGAAGGATGCAGACATGTAACCAAGTAGTTGGATATAATTGTTATCTGGGAAATGAGAGGAGCCTGCCCAGATGCCAGATGGATGGACTAGGACTGTATGTGCACACAGGTGGATATGTGTGAATTGGGTGCTTTGGAGAAAAAGCTGCTTTAGAGCTGAAAGGTTGAGGGGTGAGGGGTAAATTGGGAAATGAGTTTGAGAATAGTGTGTGCCAAGCTCCCTGTTCAGACAGTAGATGGAGCAGGAATATACAAGGTGGCAGTGAGAGGCTGCATTGGGGCTGCTGAGGAGATCCCTTTTCTCCTGAGAGGAGAGGTCTGCCATTGACAGATGTCCATCAGGCAACATAAGGTTGGATAAGGAATGAGCAGGAAGATGGAGGGAATGAAGCTGCATGCACCAGAGCAGTAGAGGCAGCACGTGGGTCGGGCAGGTAAGGCATGGCGTGAGTGGGGACAGAGGAAGTGTGTAATTTGTTTTTGTTAAGTGGTTGCATGCAACTTTATTTCCTTACAAGATCTTTAAAGTATGTGAGGCTCAGTGTCTTGCATTGTTTTTGTTTTAGGTTTAATAGCTTTTGCTTTGTTGTACTTGCTTTTTTTTAAAGACATAGATTAATTAGAGCCAGAAGTCCACTTAATTTAAACAGAAGTGCATTTCTGTGTGTGTGTTTTAATTCAGGTTGGGTTAAGTGAATGTACATTATTGACATTATGCTTGGGTTATGTTTGAGAATAAAAAGATATGCTATATTTGCAGTTATTAAAGTAACATTACTGAGCTGTTTGGCTTGAGCAAACACATTCACATTTGTTTATACATATATTTTTAAGGCTTTTACCATACACTATGGTTCTGAAACACAGTTTCTGATTCAAAGAGTAATGATTGCACTTAAGGAAAATGTCTCTACCAATGAAGAGTTCCCATTTACAGTAATTGTATAGCAAGATAGCTGGCCCGCCCTTTATTCAAAGCATGGCGGACTGTGTTCCTGGGTAAGGCATTTGAAACATTTTCTCCAGGCACCAAATAACCTGAATTCTTTTTGATGCTTTTTATATAAAAATCAAACCAAAATGAATTTGACAGACTTTATTGTGATTTTTGAATAGTAATTGAACTCCGCTTTTTGTGGCCTGCAGGAGATATGGATTTAGCCGCCAGAACCAAACAGAGAAGGTAAGAAAAAGCATAGATAATGGGAGAGAATATTTGAGAAATGGAAGTGACTACCCTTTGGCCTCCATCAGACACTGACATCTGGGACCCAGCTCCCTGGGAAGCCTGGGAAGAGTGGCTGGTCCTGGGAAAGGTGGGGTGGCAGCTGCCCTTCCCTTGCATGTCTGTCCTGGCATTTCCATTTTGCCACCTCTGCAGGCAGGGAACTTTCACCCATGGTGCTGGAATTGAAGGGTGTTTGAAAATAGGTCAAGTGGGGTCTAAAAATGTGAAGATGAAGTCCTGTCCCAGAATGAAGGCCTCTAGACAGGTGTGAATGGGGTACTAGTAGTGAGATGCCCTGCAACTGTTAATTCCAGGCCTGCCCTCCAGAAGACAGCTGAGTGAAAGAGCCAGGTAAGTCAAGTTGGGATTTTCTAACTTCACATAGGAGTCTTGAATGGTTTCTTTTCACTTATATGTTGAGTAGTGATCCTTAATTGTTAGTAGCAGAGGAGGCACATAGATCTTATAGTGACAAACCCTTACTGTGTTCCAGGCCCTTTGTTAAGAGGTCTGCTTGCATTGTTTCACTTAACAGTGCTGTGAAGATACTTTTACTCCTGTTTTTCAGGTCACAAAACTGATGCTCAGAGAAGCTCAGTGATCTGTCCAAGGTCATACAACCTTAAAGTGCCATAAGAATCCAAATCCAGATCTGTCTGACATCAAAGGCTATGCTTGTAATCACTGACTTGTGAATAAGAAAGTGCTCACTAAAGTGTTCAGTGGCCTCTTAAAAAGTAGAGTCCATCAATTTGAGATCTGTTAGTAATTTCTTTTCTCGTTTCCCACCTTACCTTGGATTTCATCAACTAGAACATGCTCCTCTTGCTACTCTTCTGCCACCCCTTCACTTGTCCAGCTTGCCTACCCCTCTGTGGCCTCAGTCATTCAGGGGACTGACAGTGACCAGGAGCATATGTTCTAAAGCCAGACTGACTGGTTTCAAAATCTGAGTTCCTCCCCTTCACTGTGTAATAATTTGCATAATCGGTATACCTTAACTCACAGCATCTATGAAATGGGATAGTCAGTGTAACTGCCTCACAGCACTGTTGTGAAGATTAAAATATAAAGGACCTAGGGTCGGGATTTAGCTCAGTGGCACCACACCTGCCTTGCAAGTGCAAGATCCTGAGTTTGATCCCCAGTACCGCAAAAAAAAAAAAAAGTAAAGGACCTAGAATGATCCAATACAGTAAACATTTAATAAGTGGAAACTATTACTAGCATTAGTTCACTGGCAGTTAGGCATGTACTGATTATGATGCTGCTTTTTTGGTTTCCTCATTTTTTCCCCCATATTTGTGTTTTCATTCAACCAGATAATTATTTCCTGCATAGTGTTTTCTGAACTTGCATTATGTTGTGTGTCATTTGGTATATAGCGAGGGATTGATGTGTACATTTAACTTGATGTATAATTTGAATCTGAAAAGAATTCTGTGCATATGACTATATTCTAAAATAAGTCAGTTTGGCTAAGATTAAAAAAAACATGAGACGTCCATGAAATACCATTCAAATAGGGCTTGTTTTGTCATTCCTACATCAGATGGTCCATTTGGATTGGAATCTTATCCCCTGTGAATATGTCTATAAACAGTCAGGAGTTCATGGTGTTTTGTGGGGAATGATAGACTTATGACAAAAAGGCATCCTGGGATTACGATGGCTGAGAAAGGCGTATGAGGCTAATCCTTACCTTCAGACCTGATAACCACAGATCAGTAGTGAGTCTGAGGTCACCCAGCTGGTGGATGGCACAGATAGGATTAAAACCAAGAACTCTAGGCTTGCAGCCCATGTTTGAGAAGAGCAGTTAATTCAGGGTGCCTTGAGTGTACAGCACATTGAGAGCCTATGGCTGGGTCCAGATGAAGCAGCTTGATCAACAGAAGAAGCAATTTAAATTTTTTTTCCTTCAGATCAGTGGTTTTCAAACTTGTTCGATCACTTGTAGCAGTAAAAATTTTATTTTTTTATTGTTATTCCATACATATATACTCCCCCCCAAAAGAAAACTTTCATTAAACAATACTGTGTTAAATTTTACCATCTACAAAGCAGCCTGATGTGTGCTGTTATTTTAATTTGTATAGATTCTAGTAGTGCCTGTTAGATTACCCACTAATGGATCTCAGCTAGCAGTTGAAAGAAACACTGCTTTGGCTGTGACCTGTCCTTGAAGGTATTAGAGTAGGAAGAAGACCAAATCAGAGTAGAAGAATAAATCTGGTGAATGTGACCTGGTATTCATTTAATCAGTGAGTGGGTGGTAAATGGAGACCAGCTTCAGCCAGGCCCTGAGTGTAATATGCCTGCTGTGTGGCTTGAATGCAAGCTGAGACTCTGATCGTCCATTCCCTCTCAGGAACTCATTCAAGTCTCCATATCTGTATGTTTTGTTTAACAGGCTCATACTCTTTGCGATGTTGTCCTTTCTCTGCTGAGTTTCCATCTCTGGTGCTCAGCTGTTTTCACGTCTTCCTTTCTAGACTGAGGACAAGAAAACACCACTGCCTGCAGGGTTGTCAGCTACAGAGAAAACAGATGTCCAAGAGGAGGATGAGCTTCAGGCAGCTGAAGAGGTGTGTGCCCCATGTAGGTCCTTTGAGGTTTCAGTCATTTGAGAATGTTACTTCCATCCTCAGCTTTCCCAGATGGCCAGCCAGGAGCTGCCTTCCATGCCTTCCAGTTCTCTTTCATCACCTGTCCTGTGGCTTGCCAAAAAGACCCTGGGACATCATCACAGAGACCTACAGGGTCATTTGCTTCAGTCTTGTGTGGGCAGAACCATTCACTGCTGCTCCTTCTATTCCTCTTTCAGCAGCATATTCAGTCACTGATGACCAAGATGACCGCCATGGCAAATGAAGAGGTAAGGGGCCATGGGTTAGAGTAAGGGGAGATAAAGTGAAGGATTTAGGGGCAGAAGATTTAGCTCAGTGGTGCCATGTCTGCCTGGCAAGTGTAAGGTCCTGAGTTGGATTCCTGCTACTGGAAGAGAGAGAGAGATAGGAGTTTCCAATGTCATTCTGCGTAGGAGATAGAATTCAGAATTCATAGTTGCTCTTTTCAGAGTGCAAGGCCCATCTAGAAGGTTTAGCCAGGGGTAAAGTACTTGGGAGGATCACTTCTTTTGCAATAAAGAAATGTTTTGGGGCTCTGAGGTTTCTTGTCCTCTGGCATTTGCTCTTCTCTTCCTTGAGTCCTAGGCCCATGAAGTACCCTACTGGCTCTATTCAGAGACCTTCAGAAGGCCTGGGAATGGGGCAGGGGGGTGAGGAATGGTTTCCAGGGGCACCAAGGACCTGAGGAGAAGCTGGCATAGTCAGCTTAGAGACTTAGGAGGTGGTGAGGTAGCTTTGACTTTTGTCCTAGGCTGTTTTCTTCCTTCTTTATGATGAATAAATGAACAGAAGGGAAATTATTTTTCCCCTGGAAATACTATCTATTTTGTAGTAATACTCAGTATTTAGGTTTTTCAGTTCTGTTAAAGACATGGTCTGGCCTTGAGAACATACCCCATGTGATTGCAGAGCCGTCTCACTGCAAGCTCCGTGGGCCAGATTGTGGGCCTCTGCTCGGCTGAGATCAAGCAGATTGTGTCTGAGTACGCAGAGAAGGTAGGTGCTGGTATGCACTTGGGTGTGTGCCTCAGGCAACTCCCCAAGGCTTTGTTCTCCCACTTCCCCAGTGCTTCCCATTGCAAGTTGTGGAGTCTGATTGTAATTCATCTGGCATTTGTCAAAAGCAGATACCAGGCTCTACCACACATAGCCATCAGCATTTGCCCATCAGCTAAATTAATTTTGTTCTGCAATGCCCATTTTTCTATAAATATTAAGAGAAAATTTGTCTTTCAGAGCTGTTATCACATTTGATACATTGTAGCCTGAGGTATAGCATAGGCATGTTTTCTTCCCTATCAGGCTTCTTATAATTCTGGCTCAATTTGGCAATTGGATTGAAGAATAAAGCTTTTTGCCACTTAGGAGATAAGCCCCATAACTCAGCCAAGCCCAAGGCAAAATTTTTTGTTCTGTTTTATTAAAAGAATATAGAATGAACAAAAGCCTCAAAGTCATATTTCAGCATTAGATTTTCTTTTTTCCATCCTAAGAGCCAGGAGGACCTTGAATATTTCAGAGAGGTAGTGATTAATCATTTTGCACATAACTGATTCTGGTCTGGCTGAGATGTAGTATCAGTAAGATCAGATTTACAGGGCATTGTTTCACATCTCTCCTTCCTCAGCCATATTCACTCTGCTGCCTTAAAATGTTAGTGTCTATTGAAGCATTTAGCTTTGCTTTCCTTGTCTCAGAACCCTTGATGACAAATTAGTTCTGCCTCCACACTCTGTGCAAAATGACCTTCAGAAATCATTGCACAGGTGGTGTAGTCAAGGAGAAGATATCGCCTGTAACTTGGGGTATGATCTGTCCAGTCTTCCCTAAATGCAGCAGTGGAGCTGAAGCTGCTAATGAGCAAGACAGACAATAGGACAGAATGTCTGGGGGCAGGTTTCCCCATTTCCACATTCCTCAAATAAATACTTCCTAATACGAACTTTCTAGTTTTGCTGTCACAGACTCCACAGTTCCCTCTCCTGTTTACTCCCATTTTCCATTTACCACTGTTCTATGTCATCTGAGATGTGACCGTTAAAGAATTCTAGTTATCTTAAAAGTACAAATAAACTCAAACAGTTTGAAGATTATAGTTGTGAGAAGAGTGATTGATTGACTGCCCTTTGAAAAAAGTATCTTGGTTTACTGTCAGCACACACACTTGAATGGCAGGGGTGAGTAGGAACCACCCTTAATTCCCACGTTACTGAATGGAATTTTCTTACGGGTGAGGGAGAGAACTAGATCAGGACACACATGCACACACCCATGTATGCACACCCTGATATTTCTACAGGGCCTCTGATTTCTGTCTCTAGACAACTATTAGCAGATAAGAGAGCTGATATTGGTAACATGGAAAAGCAGGAAATCCCTCCTTTGCTTGGATGTGCACCTGTCCTTACCAGCCCTCTCTTCCTCTAGGAGAGGGGAATCTTACCTACCTTTCCCAGCCAGTTCTACCTTGACCAGAACTCCTTTGGGTGTCTCTCATCATCTGAGCTCTTACACTTACGTAGTAGTCTCTACCCAGCTTGGAGGGCTGCATTCTGTTATTGATCCATGCTATTTCCTATCTCATTCCATTTTTTTAGAATAGAGTGAAGTTAGAAGTAATTTGGACCTGGAGGAGATGCCAAACCTTTCCACGTGTATAATTTTACTTTGCATGGAAATTGTAGGTCAGGTGCTCAATGCTTGGTTGTTTTTGTTGTTTTTCTTGAATAGATCATAAAACATTAAAGTTGATGGTTTTAAAAATTAAATTCCTTTTAATTCTATTCCTGTTTCACAGTTATTTCACATTTGCTTTGGCCCCAGATATCCATTGCTGTGCATAGTTGCAATCTTCATTATGTCTAAGAGAAGACAGTGTAGTGGTTAGAAACCCAGCTTATTGAGTCATATCTTGTTTCATATCTTCTTCTTCACTTCTCTGATGTATAATCTTGGACAGTTAGCTTATAGGGAAAGGGTAATGGGAGTTGCCAGAGACCCCTGCAGTAGTCTTGGCCTCCTGCAAGCCAGTATGATGTCCAAGAGATAGGAAAGTGGGAATTAAAAGAAACAGATAGAGACTTGAGAGAAACTGAGTCATGGGCTGGTCTAAGCTACTCTGGGCAGCAAAGACAAAGAACTCCCAGGACATTCAGTGTTTATTCATTACAAGTGCGGGAAGAGGGGAAACTGGGCAGGCCTTGGGACACCTACTGATAACAAGTATCAAGCAGGCAGGACTGTAGGATGAGGACACAAGCATATCTTTGCTGAAGAGAATAATATTACTTTTCTGGAAGATGTTGGGAAGATTGATATGTGAGCATAGAATGCCTCAACTAATGCCTAGCATACTATAGCTTTTCTGCTACTTGGATTTTTTATTTGCTTTCAGTACTGAGAAAGAACCTACTTGTGCTAGACAGGCCTCAAGGCCTCACTTGGGCTAGGCAAACACTCTGCCACTGAGAGCTACGTCTGCAGCCATTTGTTTTTATTTATTTTTGCTAATTTTTTGGTCACATCATATCTGAAACATTTTCCGTGAGTCTAAGTTTCACATTTATTTTCTATATAATTTGTGTTAATACAACACAATTCACCAAAAATTTCCCTGTCATTAAACATTTAAGTTATTTCTATTTGCCTCGTAGATAATAATGTGAAATCTGAGCCAGTAGTTCCTGCTGAAAGGTTTCCTCAGACTTGAATAGCTAGATTATGACTCTTCCTCTGTGTTATTTTCCAAATAAGTTGTAACAATATAAAATACTGCTAGTTATGAAGGGGCTTCCTAGCATGCCCCATCATTTCTCCAAATGTTCATTTGTCTGTGGTTAGGTTGGGTTTATTGCTGGTTGTGATGAGGTAATACACATACAGTGGAATTGTGGGGTGCCTCAGTAAAACGGTATTTGAAAGGCGTTGGTGTAGGTTTTGGATTCGTGTTAGGTGGCTTTCAGGATGTGGAGCTTTGTCTGTGTTGAATGCTACAAGGATGTATTTGTGAATGAATATCTTAGTAAATCTTATCAAAGTGAATCAGTATTAAAGCTATGTATGAATAATGGCAAGTATAGGGGATGTTTGGCCATTGTGATTTAGACAATGTTTATATTTCTGTCCATATTCAGATATGATTACAGAGTGGTCATGTTTTTGCCTGGATCCCTGCTGGCAGTCACAAGGTGATCTGCTCTATTGTTAGTGTTCTTTAAAATTGTTGTATTTAATGCCAAAGCCTGAATATGAGTGGAAGGCAGCTCTCTCAGCAACCTCAAGGTCTTGCTGATGGCACCAGACTAGCTTGCATATGTCAGGGGCTGTTTTCTCATCCTGAGGTTGTTTGTGTATCTGTTGCTGGATAGCAGTATGACCACAAATGTCATAATTTAAACACCTACATTGTTTTTTCACAATTGCCATAGGTCAGCAGCAAGCCACAGCTTGGCAGGGTCCTCTGTTTCACAAGCTCACAAAGCTAGAGTCTCATCTGAGACTCTACCAGGGAAGGATCTGCTTTATGTGGTTCTTGGCAGCATTCAGTTCCTTGTGACCTGTTAACTGAGGTCACCATTTCTTGATAGCTTTCATCTGGAGGTCACCCTCAGTTTCTTGCCACATGGGCCTTCCCAACATTGACAGTGACTTCAAGGCCAGTGGGGAGGGATCTCATCTCCAGTATGTAATACATACACCCTCATGCATTCCACCACCTTTGCTGTATTCTGTTAGCTAGAATCAAGTCATAATTCCCCTCTGTACTCAACTGAAAGATTCTATGCACAAGTGTGAACACGAGGAGGTAGGGAACATGGGGCCCTCTTAAGCTTGTCTACACTATTTATCTTTCTATCTTACTATCATAGGTTGCTGAAACTAGGCACTGAGATTTCATAAAATTGATGCTGCTGCCTTCAGATCTCAGTAATAAAACCTTTGGAAATGGAGATGAATTAAAGAATGCTCAGGAGGGAATCCGTTGGTGGTACTTGAGAAAACCCGAGTTAGGCTGACCTGGATGTATTTTTGCATAATGAAAAGAAAGGGACAGAATAATTTTTGAAGGATAAAGTGTGAAAAGATTTTGTGACCAAGGGATAAATTAAGCAAACTGCCTGGAGCAAGTGTTTTGAAAGTCAACAAGCATTGAGATATAAAAATGAAGTAAAAAACTCCTTTTGCAGGGCTGGGGATTTAGCTCAGTGGTTCCGCCGCTTGCCTCACAAGCGCAAGGTCCCAAGTTCACTTTTTTTTGGTACCAAAAAAAGTGCAGACTTCTTTTTCATTTGTAAAGTTCACAAGTTCTTTTAACAGCATAACATGATAAATAATTCATGTGTTTCAAAGCCAGTCTCTGAGATGTGTAACTCAATTTAATATGCTCTTGTAAAGCAGCGGGAAAGAGGAATATGAAGAAGCTTCCAAATTTATAATTCATGACCATCCAGAGGCTCTGGGCTATGTAGCTCCATCTCCTTTTGTTTCCAAGGGGTAACACCCTTCCTAGGATGTGCTAGCTGAGGCTCCAGTGCTTTTCGTCTTGATATCTAATATTCTCACCTTATCATAGCTTTCATTTGTTTTTTTTTTTTTTTGGTACCGGGGATCAAACTCAGGACCTTGTGCTTGCAAGGAAGGCAGCGGAACCACTGAGCTAAATCCCCAGCACCCATAGCTTTCATTTTAATGGGGAAGAAGAATCTATTATTATGATTTGCAGAAAACTAAAAAGCCTGACTTTCTAAAACATGTCTCCACCATATTACCCTGTAAGTTTTCTTAGGAGCCAGAAGAAATGGAAGGAAGCTGGACCAGGGAAGGTGTTAGGTCCCTAGAAAGGGAGGAAAGAATTGCCCTTAGCACCACATATCAGCTGACCACATACCATTTTGACCACTTTGGTACTTAGTCTGCCAACTAAGTGATCATTAGCTGATACCTCAGTAAAACAGAATCTTAGAACATGTTCTAAATCTGAAGGCCCAGAGTTGTCT